TTCATTTGTCAATATCATACAGTTATTCACTAAGTTTTATAAGTCAGAAAATTCAATACTTAAAACCGAATTATACACAAATCAGGTCAAACGATGAAACACCTTTATAACTAAAACAGAATGCCTTTTTACAAAGTAAATTATTTAGGCTCCATGGCAAGAATTAGTTAATTAATCAATATGAAGCAACTGTTTAATGAAGAACTGCCTGTAGCTTCATTTAAATGGTTTCAGCTGTAGGAATATTATTATTATTTGTTGCATTATCTGCACAAATATAAATATATGTTGAATATTAGAGGTTTTCAGCATTTTTTACAGACACAAATATTACACTTAAACATAATGTTATATATAGTACCAAAGGGAAACTCTCATTCTCGTTAGTTTGACCTGTTACTGTGGGGAAATTAAAAATATCTCCATACCATTAGATGTATAAGAGTCGAGGTGTATTTTTGATACACAAAACCTCCCCGGGACTTCTCTATACGCTGCAAGGTGTTTTATTTGTATAATACAATATTTTAAAGATTGTTTTAAACAATCCTTTTTCACTCCTGAGAAGTGACAATTGACGTTGTAAAGGCCATCTGGTGTATGAGCGTTTTTCGATCGGAATTATTGCTTTGATGTTATAATTTATTTTACAGAAGTTATTTTAAGCTTAAAAATTGGGAATTCGCAAATATCTGTATTAACTAAATAAGAACTTATTATAATATAATTTTAATCTATGACTATAATAATATTGTGGCATTTATATAGCCGAAAAGACCACGAGTTGCCTTTTAGACTAAATATTTAAAAAAAATCAAGTAGAATTTTTTTTACCAACTGTATTGGGCTTTAAATTCAATTTTAAATATAGCAGTGGCCTCACTACCTTGATATTCCCGCCCTCGTGGGATTAAAACTAGTGGGTCGTCTCTTGCACCTCTTCTTTCCCCGTCGTAAACACACTGGCCGCAACTAGCCGCCCTCGAAATATTCGTTGTAAAACCCTAGTTGGCAGTTATCTGTATTGTCCACAATTGCCCGCTTTAATTATGTGTCCGCAATGTTCCAAGTCCACCCACAACACTAAGGTGCCATTGCCTGGACACCCCAAAGACCCATATTATGACTTCAAAAAACTGTTTAAATTTCACGGCAAATCAGGAATTCAATCACATTCATTCAATTATTCGTCGTGTGTTTGTGTAAATGTAAAAAAACTGTTACTGACGACCTTCATATGAAGTAATTCATCCTTGTACTCACCTGATGATGACCTCCTAGCAGGTTGAAACTAGTTGTGGAGACAACAATTGGATTGCATGAATAAGGTATTTAAACCACTATCATAGTTATTATTCGCAATCCGGAGGCTACCCACACCATAATGAAAATCAGGAATGTTTAAGGAATTCTGTTAAGTTACGCGTTTATTTGATAATATACAGGGTGTCCCGGAACTCTCTACCAATATTTTAGGGCATTGTTCCTGGGTAAGAAACATATCTAAATATCATATTTAAATTGTCCTGAAGTCCTTACTTACTCAGATAGCCGCCATTTTGTTTTTTCACTTATTAATTTTTTCTGAAGATTGGTCAAACATACGAAGCTGAAACTTTGCACAAACATTTATGACAACTAGACAAAGCTACAAAAATATTATGACGATTTTTCAAATTCATAAAACAAAATGGCGGCTGTTTAAAACTTTGTTTCTTAAATTACTCGAAAACCGTTGATTTTACAAAAATTTTACAAGAATAACTTTTTAAGGCAATTTTATTACAAATCGATCAACACCTTAATCTTTAAGATCGGACGAGTATTATCTGAGATATGGCAGTTTTAGTGATACGTGACCGCTTTCAGCATGCGCTGCAACTAATATCCGGCGGTCACGTATCACTAAAACTGCCATATCTCAGTTAATACTCGTCCGATCTTAAAGATTAAGGTGTTGATCGATTTGTAATAATTGCCTTAAAAAAGTTATACTTTTAAATTTTTGTAAAATCAACGGTTTTCGAGTAATTTAAGAAACAAAATTTTAAACAGCCGCCATTTTGTTTTATGAATTTGAAAAATCGTCATAATTTTTTTGTAGCTTTGTCTAGTTGTCATAAATGTTTGTGCAAAGTTTCAACTTCGTATGTTTAACCAATTTTCAGAAAAAAATTAATAAGTGAAAAACACAAAATGGCGGCTATCTGAGTAAGTAAGGACTTCCGGACAATTTAAATATGATATTTAGATATGTTTCTTACCCAGGAACAATGCCCTAAAATATTGGTAGATAGTTCCGGGACACCCTGTATACCAACCAATAAAACTTCAATATATATATATATATATATCACATGTGAAGTTACTATACATGTGTATTAGACTCATCCTTTACCGACTACCTAGGAACATATTAAATATTTCTGAACGTTTGTTTTTTATTGAAGCAGAAAAATCGGACAAGAAAGAAATTTCGTAGTACAGTTGTAATAAGTATTCCACATCTAATGCAAAAGAAATCACCCAATACGACCCTAAAAAGTGACTCAGAAAATGCAAGAAGCTTATTTCTAGTAATAATCGTCTAAGAAAAATTTACGATCGAATAGGGAAATCCTGATCGCACCATTTTCTTGGAGATTATTAAAAATTTACGTCAAGTAAAGAAACGCCAGCAATAAAGTTCACCAAACAGCAAACAAGACATTTTCTCTCTTGCCAGATGGGGTTTTCTTTGAAATCATGAAGCTAGAAAATTAGCAATGTTCCAACTGCGACGCCAAGGTCAATAGATTTAGCGTAAACCTTACTATCAATTCACTACCAAGAAGTAGACATTTGGAATGTCCAGTTAAAGTTGATGCCAGATTTCGAATGAAATGTAACATATTTTTAAAAGCTCCATCGTAGCGGTTTGTTCTAAATTTACCACGTGTAGGCTAGATGGTAAAATTACAGATTTATGTCTTCCAAGTCTACTTGTTAACCATTCAAAAATGACAGAAATACTTCTTGTGAACTGTAGACTTTGTTTATCGTATAAACTAGAATAGAACCAAATTTTCCATTAAGGGTACCTATAAGCTATTACTATTACCACATTTGTCATGGTGAAACCCGCGATCAAATTACTTGTTCGTTTTGATACCCCGAGAGGCCAAACACATATATATATATTTCTGTGGTGCAATTATTGAGAAATGGCGAAACTAATGACTCAATTTAAAAAGTACTCTTATTTAAATCTTCTTGTCAAACGATATCAAATTGAAAGAGATTGAATAATAAACAGCAAATCACTCTGTTAATAGGAAAATGAGGCGCAGACTGACTAGTTTAGCCTTATTGTACAACTAAACATATTGATATTTTAACTACTTTTTATTCGATCTTTCTGAACTTAAAGATCTTTCGACCTTTCTGTGTTATTTTTTAGGATATCATAAGCTAAATAATAATATTCTTGATGTTTTATTGAATTTCCCATATAGAAAATGATTTTCCGTCGTAGGTCTCATAGAAAGACCTAGACCTGGGACCAATTTACTTTTGCGTTTTAGAGGCCATAAACACAAAAGGCGCTCGAGGAAATGAGAAACTAGAGGGGAAGATTATAGATTAAGGGGATCCAAGATCCCATGGTGTTAACAAAAGTGAAGGCATGTGATGGAAAATGGAGCCGCTTTGAGACAACTACTCAGACTGAAAATAAGATAAATCTGGTTTCTTAATTTGATAGACCAAATAACCTAGAAAAACAAACTGTTTTTTTTTTTGTATTAAAGGAGGAAATATGTAATATATTATTATTTTCAATATTAATTTTAATCAATCATTTTTAAGACGCGTTTACACTATACAGCGTGTTTATAAAACTTTTTGATCTTGTGTTTATAAAACTGTAAATAATATGCACAACAAGTTGTATGAGCCAAAACTATCAAACATGTTTAAAAGAATAAAAATGTACAGTTAACATGATCATTTCAAGTGACGAGGATCTGTTGTTGGATGTTGTTATTTTCTGTGCTAGGAAGAAAAGAACAAAGCGCCGTTTGTCGGTGTCTGAGGACTGTACTGATGCCGAGACTGAGGAATTGAGGCTTCCGCTTCAAAAACCTTTTAAGAATGACAAGTGTGAGTACTTGGTTCTTCTTATAGGGGACTGCATCGAGAAGAAACACACCTCATTTAGAGACATAATTCCGGTAAAGAAGGACTTTCTGTAACCCTACGATTTTTGGCTACCGGCAAGTAACTCTTAGTAAAAGTTTATAAATTCAAATTTTCTTTAAACTTTCTGCCATGGGTTGGAAAGCTGTTACTTGTAGTAAAACCTAACCTTTGGTCGAAAACAACATATTTCAATATTTAATATATAATATATACTAAATATTTTATTATATGAATCCTACTATAGTTAATAACTTGTTCTACACTTGTCTAATGGTTTTTATTGCATTTAATTAAAATGTCCTAGTCAAATATTAGGTTGTAGGTACAACTCAATTTAATGAAACACGTTTTATAGGGTAAACGTGGCGTTAGTCTCAGTTGCGGTTGATATATGTTTATATTTACAGTACAGTACTTTTAATTTAGTGGCTCAAATTTAATAAAAAAATAAGTTATTAAAACGCTAGTCAATCTCATTATTCAACAAATTCAACCAGTCTCACAGAGTTTGTTCACATAATGATCAGTCTACCAACATCGACCTAACGAAACTACGGTTTGCCCTAAAGCCCAAATATGCTAAAAGCATTTAAACCTATAGGAGGAAATTTAATTAAAACCTCATAGATTCAAACCAATAAAAAAACAAATCCTATTTCAGAAATTCACTAATCACACCAACATCAACATACATCAGTGTAGTTCCTAGAGCGCTGAGCCAGGGGAGGCCCGCTAGACATTTAGCAGACAAGACGTTTGGTGCGTCACCTCGTGGTGGACTCCCGAACTGTTCGCGCCGCAGAGTCAGTGCCAGTCGGGCAGTCGCGGCGCGCGGCGAGGTGGCTGTAGTGCGTGTAGCGTGTAGTAGTGCGATGACGTCTAGAGGTGGCCAAAGGCTAGCCAGCGTCGTGGCGCTTTGTGCTCTACTGCTGGTTCTCGTTTTGTTGGCGGCGCTATTGTTCGCTGCGCACCTTGGATTTTTCGAGACAAGATACCAGAATCCATGTAAGTAAAAATATTTTTTCTGCTTTTGGCGGATTGTTTAAAGTTTTGTTTAAATTTCCACACTAGTAAAACTTTATTTTTACGCAAAGTTTTGTAGGAACATTTTTAATAAACGAAGGAATTTGTAATAAAAGTACGGCATAGTATGAAATAAAAATAACTTGTAAGGCAAGGATGATGGGTATCATATTATCTTTTTTGAAAAAAATGTATCTAAAGCTAGGGACATTTATTTTTTTATGCCTTGTGTTATCACTAGAGTTACTTATCAGTGATAAGACAACAAGGACGCTTGTCAGGTGTCTGTCTGTCTGTGTGTCTGTGACGGGTTAGCTACGCTCAGTCCTATTTTTGAATGACAAAGAGGCTGTATACAAATATTGCATTCAAGTCTAACTAGGGACGTGTAGATCGGGGTTCAATATGCCTTAGATATAACTGATATTAAACCCCGCATATTTAAAAATAAGGGAATAATAGGACCTGAATAAGTCTAGTCCAAATCAGAATAATATAAAAAAAGGTATAAATTATAAGCCAACAAAAATAATTTTCTTGTTACCGGTAAGGTGTTTATAGTGAGAACATTTTTAGTCCGAACTTGGTCTCCCATTTTACATTTTTGAAGAAATGAATTAGTTGATGTCGTTTTTACCCAGATATATATAATCATAGTATTAAACAAATTTGGAAATTTTTATCCTTAGAGAATTATAACCGAAGTACCCATTTCTGATTAAATAATTTGTTTTTACTTTCAACTGGATTCTTTCTGCAGTAAGTTACATTTTGTTTTAAATAAAAAAAAATCTACATACCAAATAGAAACATCGCAATTTGAAAATAATGCATATAGAGACATTTTCAAACTAATACTGAAAAGATATTATGGTAACCCACATTCTTGGCTCAGACATTTTAGTATTAGGCCAACTCTTATCGTATTGCATTTGGTAAAAGAATCTTTTTAAATGTACACAAAAAATGATGTGTTGATTTCATTTTATGAATAGTATGAACATGTATTGGAAGAAAATTCTAAATTCAATTGTATGAAATCGCTCAGGTAGGCTAAACTGTAAAATTAGGCATAAAAAATGTCCCTAGTTTACTTAGATATTATTTTTGAAAAAAAAAAGGATAATAGCCTAGATGCTACCCATTACACTAGCCTTAGATGTTAGTTTTGATCATACTATACCGTAGCCTATTTTTATTATAAATCCCTTTAAATGTGAGTAAAAAATAAAGTTTCATTTAATAATAGTGTTAAATTACTCAGCGTCGTTACAATTGATAAGATGTCTTCTCAGTGCAGATAACCTGCTTCCATCTAGAATGAGAGGATCCACATAAATATAAATAAATCCCCCCTTTCGTAGAGGGAGATTTCCAAGAGACAGTTCGCGCCTCAGACTTTTTTCCTTGTTAGATCATAGTTAGACCTGTAGCTTCACCTGGGCGCCGAATCACTGGACACGATAATGTCACATATATTTTGGCAATTAGCGAGATTTTAACCGAGGTTTCAAGGATATAAGGCCTTAGACCTGTTGTGGCACAATCCACAGAAGAAATCAAAAGCTCTGTCTCGTAAAAAATAGGATAAGTATCCAACAGAGATATTACTCACACCGGTTTCGTGTTATTGTACCCTGCCATGAATATGCTACATGGATTTGGATGTGAGAAATAAATCCTAATTTCCATAAAAATTGCATTACTTTTATAGACTGTTTTATACACAATTTGAAAAATTCGAGAAAATATATAGGCATACTAAGAAAAAGAATATTACTAAGATAGAAAGTTTAGCAAATAATACAAAAGGAGATGTTAGAAAACTTCTTAATTTCACTTTATTTGTGTATTCCTTTGAAAACAAAGATACTCCATGGAGAAGTTGATAATTCTTTATCCTAGTCTCCATATATAACTTACTGGCAAAGGTGCGAAATCATAACAAAAAGATAGGGATCAGATTATTAAATTTTTATTGCGATTTCGTTGAATCTAATAGGAAACCAAAACAGCTTGCAAAGTGCTTCACCAACTTCGCTAAAAGGGTAGCTTTTGTCCTCTCGTTTATCCGACCTGACAGGACGGACGAGTGGGTGCCAGATAACATTGTGTGCCTAATACAGCAACGAGCCTTAGTAATCTGTTACTTCATGCGCAGAATCACAATGATGTCCTAGTCGTTATATCCTCCAGGTGGTCCCATAAAGTTCAGGGTCTTCTTATCTTCTACATGCTATTGGCCTCTAGAAATAGTTTAAATAGAAGCCGTCGTTGGGGAAAAATCAATTTTTTGTGTTCTAGTAAAAAGTAACACGATTGTTTCCAAATGGTTTATTTATTTCAACCTACTAAAAAAGTAAGTGCCCAATTACATTTTAGTCGCAATACTTTTTTACTTTAATCCACTATGTTAAAACATTGATAATAAATAACACATATAGTAGATGTAATATAAATGATGTACACTGCATAAGTTAGTTTATTTACATAATTATACTCAATTCGTTATGTCGGAAAAGCGATGCAAATAAGAACTCATAAAATTAGAATCGTAGGAACTCCTAGGTACTAAGAAAGATGTACAACTAAGTATCTCATAGCTAGATCATGTTGAACACCCACATTCCATTCTACCGTTCAGTGTGAAATATTTAGCTTGATCTCATTTGTCAACTGCAGCTTATCCTGTACAAATCCGTATCGTTATAATAAATCCTAGACACACCAAAACGTGTTTTCTTTTCAACAACTTACGATAGATTAAGTGTGGGATGAGGAGGATTTTCGTTTCATGCTGTTAAAATGTTGCTAAAGGGACAAGTCAAATTACTCTTCACACTTAACCGGTTCTTGGGAACATTTGTTGAGCCAGTTTTAAGTGGCGAGCTTACCTAATTAACTCCGATGTCTATCAAAGAAAACATAAAAAATCCAGAAAATTAACTGGTCGAAAAAGAAAATATTAAGTAATACTGATGTGTGTACAGCTATTCGTCGTAAAGTAAAATATTTTTTTTAGAATTCATAGTTACCAGATCTTTATACACAGCCATCATCCAAACAGTCTTCTACTTGTCTATCATTTCATTCCAATACATCATATTCGTCCCAAAACATCACCGATCACGCCATTGCACTGAAGTCTTCTACTTGTCTATCCTTTCATTTAATACAACATATTCGTCCCAAAACATCACCTATCATGCCATTGCACTGAAGTCTTCTACTTGTCTATCCTTTCATTCAATAGAACATATTCGTCCCAAAACATCATCTATCATGCCATTGCACTGAAGTCTTCTACTTGTCTATCCTTTCATTCAATAGAACATATTCGTCCCAAAACATCACCTATCATGCCATTGCACTGAAGTCTTCTACTTGTCTATCCTTTTATTCAATACAACATATTTGTCCCAAAACATCACCTATCATGCCATTGCACTGAAGTCTTCTACTTGTCTATCCTTTCATTCAATACTGTACAACATATTCGTCCCAAAACATCACCTATCATGCCATTGCACTGAAGTCTTCTACTTGTCTATCCTTTCATTCAATACTGTACAACATATTCGTCCCAAAACATTACCTATCATGCCATTGCACTGAAGTCTTCTACTTGTCTATCCTTTCATTCAATACTGTACAACATATTCGTCCCAAAACATTACCTATCATGCCATTGCACTGAAGTCTTCTACTTGTCTATCCTTTCATTCAATACTGTACAACATATTCGTCCCAAAACATTACCTATCATGCCATTGCACTGAAGTCTTCTACTTGTCTATCCTTTCATTCAATACTGTACAACATATTCGTCCCAAAGCATCACCTATCATGCCATTACACTAGAGTTATCATAATTGACATTGGAGTATCGTGTCTTACACGTGTAGTCCAGTCTATTAGGCCCAGACCACCAAGGGTTATATGGTTTGGACGTAGGCCGTCTCGTAATTAAAGCCATAACAATCATTACCCTGATGAAAGTTTATAGCCATTTTCGACAGGGTCGTTGAACTTGCTTATAAATTGGTTCTACTAGGCGATTGGTTACAAATGTAGTTGGTAACATTGTAGTTAGAAGACAAGGTACAATGATTTTCTCATAGTTAATTATGAAAGGTATCAAAAGTGGACTGTCTGTTCAACCGAGATGTAGTGCTCGCCTTTAAATCTGAAGTTATCGGTTCGTTCCCGAGTGGGCAAATTCTACACCTAGATGGTATTTGTTATGAACTATCAATAATGATGCTATCTAAGAAATTATCTGTTATATAGTAACAAAGAAGGGCTTGAACCGTTACTTTTCAAACAATTTTAAAAGTCATGCATTGAATATACTTAAAAATAACTAACTACATCAAAAAGTGTGCATCAGTTATAGTTAAAGGATATAAATTTGAATGCTGTTAAGCTGTAACATTACGTCTGCATTTTATCATGGTATTTTTACACTGGTCAACGTTTGGCCTATTTTTGTTTATTTATATTTTATTCTTGTCAATAGAGCAAACAAGTTGTTGTTAGAATCAGAACACCCTTGCGTACTTTTTTACTTGATTATTAATTGGCTGAAAAAATATAATTCTTAGCTTCGGCTCACATTTACATCAATCACATAAAATTTTATTGAATAATTGTAGGTAATAATACAACTCTGAATGCTTTAATAAATTCGATGGTTTATTTCCTGAAAAATCTTTGCCGCTTTTTACATAATTTATAATATTTTGAATGTTGCGTCAAACAGATGTTCTGTTTCGTAACCCTGGGCGTGATTGGATTCAGTAATGTTTCAGTTAGGGTTGTAAATGTTGAGTTTTATACGAAATTGTGCAAACTCGACAGGGAATCACGATGGCAATACCGAGTTGTATCAGCAATACTGACCGCGATCTTATCACTGTCAGGTCACCGAACGTGGGTGACCTTGACCTCTTATCACGAACTGACCTTGGTGATAAGAGTCA